ATTATTATTATTATTGCAAACCCATGCCATATTTTTGTTATCTTGAATTACTTTTTGCGTTCCAGCACAAAAGTTTAGCATTCTCAAGGTAACTGTACATTTTGTATTGACTTGATTGAGACTTTTATTTTGAAGTATTGAAGAACTGCCAAAAAGTATTGGGTACATGTCTGAACTTGTATAGCGCTTTATCAAGTTCTTTTGGAGTCCAAAGCRCTTCACACTGCAGTCATACACACACTTATACAATAGTAGCCTATATGGTAAACTACAATGTGGCCACAACTGCCCTGGGGCACACCGACAGAAGCGGCTCGAACCGTCAACCCACCAGTTACAGCATGGCTCCCCTATCCACTCTGCCACAGCTGYCCAAACRACAAYGAAATAACATAAACTTCTTTACTTTTTGTGCCAAGTTTGCATAAATATCTCCATACATGGCTGTGATATGTTTAGTCTGAAGCTGAATYAACATTTGTATAATGGTGCACTTGTAAACTCATTATTAAATCATCACACACAACAGTAATGAACAACATTTGTGAGGTAAGGCTAAAGAGAACAGTGTCCCCTAAGGGGCTCRGTTCACACTTTACAATATTGCTTAAAATGAATGAGATGTGTTTTAGCCRCACTGCTAAAGAAAAACCATTCTGTCATTCAAACCCAGACATTCAAGTAATTTCTGTGATTCAGAAGAACAACCTTTCAGTGCATTTTGATGGCACATAATTGACTGGAACCATAACAAAAATATGTGATGACACCATAAAATGACAGCGTCATATAAAAAGAGAAGACACAAGTTAATGTTGGTGTTGTTTAAGATCATCTGGATATTTTGAAAAAATATTTGCCTCTTAAGTCCACAGAGTCCTTTATTCGACACACTTCAGCACTATTATTACTACATTGGGAAACAGTCTCATTTTTATTCTACAGGACTCCCTAAAAACGAAAGAAAATCAGGCACTACACGGACATATTCACAAGAAATCTTAATGATTACACAAATCCCTCAGGCAAATATGTTTTGTGTTGATACACCAAGCTGGTAAGCTTGTGATCAATCCAGGACTTTGAGCAGTTTTTAAACACTGACAGATCAGCGGAGAGCAATCTGTAATAATTAAAACTGCCTAAGTGGAGGCTGGCTAGGTAAAACCTTTGTGTATAACTGTGTGTATGTGCATGTATATGATATAAACTCAGCTCCTCTGTCTGTGCCATAAATCATGTGATGCTGGCTGTGTTCCCTGGAGTGAGAAGGCCTGTATATCACACACACACACACACACACACACACACACACACACACACAC